CTCTACATTCTGGCAGACTGTGAAAGCCATCCCTCCCCTAGCCCCTTCCTGACCAATTCATTCCAAAAGCCATTAGATGGGGCTAAGAAACAAAGGATATGGAAGCACAAGCTAGATGAGTAGGGAAGGGTGGTGGTGTGTCCGAATGGCAGTGGCAGTGATGGTGACTCATTACATACAAGGAAATTATTCAAATAAGTAAATATATTGAGGATAATGGGGAACTACTCTCTCAATGTCAGCAAATGGGATTACAAATGTGGAAAGAGAGAAAAATGGAATGAATCCTCTTTTAGAGGATTCATCCTTTTAGAGTGGAATTACATATATACATACACACATACATACATATTTATAGATATAGATATATACACACACATACATATAAAGTATGTGTGTATATGTAAATGTCCTAGCTCTGTCATAAGAGTTCTGGAAGCAGTGAGAACCCAACAGTAACAAGCACACTTAATGCCCAGATCTTGCTTTCTAAACATAAATACTCTTCTTCACTAAAACGAACCAGGGCTCCTTACAGAAGGATCTCATTCCTGGGCTAGGGACGGAAGTACAAGATGAATTTGGAATATGTTATCTTACTTGACGGTAATGTTCAGAGAATCACAGGGATGTTTCAAAAGAACACAGAGTCAATTTGAAGGGGCTTGTAACAGCCAAATTGCTGTTGTTGTCAGGTACCATCGAGTCAATTTTGACTCATAGTGACACCAAGTAAAAGAGGAGAACTGCCCCTACAGAGTTTTCTTGGCTCTAATCTTAACGAAGCAGATCGCCAGAACTGATTATAACCCACTGAAAAAAAAAACAGAAATCTTTGAGTCCATCTGAGAGAGGGAGGAAGAGAAGGAGGGAAGCAAGGAGAGAAAGAAAGGGAAGGAAGAAAGATTTGTTGACAAGCAAGATACTTACAGTCTCAAGTACCTCTCCACAAAATACTAAGGGAAAAATAGTAACTTTACAGTGGAGAAGCCTGGCATGCACCATCTTCATCAAGTGATCAACATCAACTGTAATGGTATAAATCAAAATCATGTGCCACCTGATAGGATGCAATCAGAAAAACATAGCACCCTTTCTGCAATATTCCAAATTGAGAAAGATTATAGAAAATAATTGGCCTGTAATCTTTAATAATGTCAAAGTCATGAAAGTAAAAAGAAGACTGAGGAACTTTCCAGACCAAAAGATCAGTGGTTTCAACCCTCCAGCCATTCTGAAGGAGAAAGACATGACAGTCTGCTTCCATAAAGATTTCAGCCTTGGAAGCTGTCACAGACTAAACTGTGTCCCCCAAAAATATCTGTCAACTTGGCTGGGTCATGATTCCTAGTATTGTATGATTGTGTACCATTTTGTAACCCGATGCGATTTCCTTATGTGTTGTAAACTCTTATCGCTATGATGTAATAAGATGAATTAGAAGCAGTTATACTGATGAGGTATATAAGATTTGATAGTGTCTTAATGCAATCTCTTTTGAGATATAAAAGAGAGAAGCGAGCAGAGACACATGGGAACCTCATACCACCAGCAAAGCAGTGCCGGGAGCAAAGTGCGTCCTTTGGACCTGAGGTTCCTGTGCAGAGAAGCTCCCAGACCAAGAAAGATTGATGACACAGACCTTTCTCCAGAGCCGACAGAGAAAGCGTTCCCTTGGAGCTGACGCCCTGAATTTGGACTTGTAGCCTACTGCACTGTGAGAGAATAAACTTCTCTTTGTTAAAGCCATCCACTTGTGGTATTTCTGTTATAGCAGCACTAGATGTCTAAGACAGAAGCCTATGGGGCAGTTTTACTCTGTCCTATAGGGTTCGCTATGAGTCAGAATTGACTCGATGGAAACGGGTTTTTAAATAGACAAGACAAAAAAATGTGATGCCTGATCCTGCAATGGAGTCTTTCATATGAAGAACATTTTTGGGCAACTGGCAAAACCTTAATGGAGCCTGAGGCTTAGATGGTAGTAATATATCAATGTCAACTTCCCCCATGTTGATGTTTGTATTGCGGTTATATTGGAGAATATCCTTGATTGTAGGGAAGCACTCCAATAGTCAGTGGTGATGAAGCCTCATGAACTTACTCTCAATTGGTTCTAGGGGGAAAAAGTTTTCTTTTCTCTTTTTTTTGGGGGGTGGGGGGAGGGAAGTCAAGACCACTGTTCTTATCCCAGACATAATCAATCAATTCCTTGAACTCCTTTAAACCACTTAGGTTCTTTATCTTAGACAAACTGATACGGTCTACACCACGAAATTCACAGAATAAGGCATCTGTCCTTCGAACAGAACAAGGGGATACTGTGTGGTATAAAATCAGGAAAGATGTATGTATCTTTTCACTATACCTATTCAATCTGTATGCTGAGCAAATAATCCCAGAAACTGAAGTATATGAAGAAGAGCATGGAATCAGGGTTGGAGGAAGACTCCTTAACGACCTGCATTATGCACATGACACAACCTTGCTTGCTGAAAGCGAAGAGGACTTGAAGCAGTTAATGACAAAGATCAAAGACTACAGCCTTCAGTACAGATTATACCTCAACATAAGGAAAACAAAAATCTTCACAACTAGACCAATAAGCAGCATCATGATAAACAGAGAAAATATTAAAGAACTCAAGGATTTCACTTTACTTGGATCCACATTCAACACCAAAGGAAGCGGCAGTCAAGAAATCAAACAAAGCACTGCACTGGGCAAATCTGCTGCAAAAAACCTCTTTGAAGAGTTGAAAAGGAAAGATATCACCTTGAGGACTAAGGTGCGCCTGACCCAAGCCACAGTATTTTCAATCACCTCATATGCATGCGAAAGCTGGACAATGAATAAGGAAGACCAAAGAAGAATTGGTGCCTCTGAATTATGATATTGGACAAGAATACTGAACATACCATGGACTGCCAGAAGAATGCACAAATCTGTCATGAAGAAGTACAGCCAGAATGCTCCTTAGAAGCAAGGATGACAAGACTTCATCTCACGTACTCTGGACATGTTATCAGGAGGGACCAGTCCCGGGAGAAGGACATCATGCTGGATAAAGTAGACAGTCAGTGAAAGAGAGGAAGACCCTCAAGAGATGGACTGACACAGTAGCTGCAATGACAGGCTCAAGCAGAGCAACGATTATAAGGATGGCGAAGGACCAGGCAGTGTTTCATTCTGTCGTACATGGAATCGTTATGAGTCAGAACTGACTCAATGGCATCTAACAACACACCACGAAACTCACAGAACAAAGCATCTGTCTCATGTACTGTTGACTACAGGTACAAGTTACTGAACGAATTTAGGAGTAAAAGTGCATATGTAGGTATGAGAACAACACCATCTGTAATATGCCATACTGAGGCTGACTTTAATACGCTAAGAGGTGTACAGAGTTCAGTGAAGGTTACCTAGAATCAACCCTCACTGTGGAATCCTTTATTCATAAATCACATTTGGGGCTGGAGTGTTTACTGTGCTGGTCAAAGAGGTGTTAAGGGAATGAGCACACTGGTTACATCTCCTGACCTACATACCAGAGAGACAAGTGTGAGGTGGAATAGTTCTGATCCCATAATGGTGGAGTCTACTGGCTGAAGGGAATAGGCTTTTGAGAATGGTTCTTACAGACTGTCCTCATGCTCTTTTCTCAGCAGCAAAACCAAAAGACAATACCTTACATTTCCTCTTCAGATATCTTAATTCCAAGCCAAGAAATGCAGATTAAGAGAGAGGATGAGATACATCTTTTCGCTTTTCCAAACTGTCTCTGTTTTTTTTTACTTTTTTCTTTCATATTAGGCATCACCGACCTTTGGGGTCATAACCACTGCTCATACAGATGCTAAAGAAGATTCATATCCTCTTTTCTAAGGAAAACATTGATTCTATGTGTCTGTACTCACACCTATGGAGAACTGGGTTAGAACAGAAGATTAGAGTAGAATATCAGTTCTTAAACTTCATACCTGAATGATAACTTTCTCATCCTCTTAGCTGGTAGCAAAAAAGTAGGTACACTGTTCTTTAACCAACACACAAATGACCCATATCCACTAGATAAATGATGAATTACTAAGATACTATAAAACCAAATACTTAATCTTTCATGGCCTGAAACTGGCAATCTGCTTCCAAAAGATCACAGCCTTGAAAACCCTATGGAGCAGTTCTACTCTGCACACATGGGGTCGCCAAGAGGTGGAATCAACTCGAAGGCAACTAACAACAAAGTACGCTGTCTGGATCGGATTGTTTTGAATATTCCTCACACAACACGCTTGTACTTTTGGAGTTAAAACTTAATATACGCTCTTGGTCTTTACAAAGCACCAGTACAAGAACATTCCACTTGAATAGTTTCTATGTCTTCTGTGAAATCATAGCTGAACAACGTAATCTATTACATCACACAATGGCAGGACCCACAGAATATCTCACCCATTGACTACAATATCCCAGGAAAATGTCTGTCTTTGTAAACAAATTTGCACACTTTCTTTCCACAGACAATAAACACTATGTAATTCAATGCTATACAGAGAAAAGAACGTTTCCCTTTTAGCCATAGCAGCCAGAAAACTTAAAGCCATATACAGTGCACAACGGTTATAATTAGCTCCTCTCAAGGGTCTGGCACTTTCTACTCTCTATGCTCTTCTTTATTATGTTTTTATCCTTAATTTCCCTGTTTTACAGTATCTTTAATTCTATCAGCAGATTTAAATCCTTCTGAAAGTACCTAGGGTATGTATATAACTATGTATATAATTTCCATCTCTTGCATTTTTCTGCCTCTTATCTATCTCTGACGTTTTCTGGTATCATTCTATAATAACTGATCTAAGAATTTAAACTGATATTGGTAGAAGGAGGCTAATTTAATAAAGACTAAGCAGTTTACATCATTAACTCCCTTTGTCCGCTCCCCAAACAAATCACTGGGAAGCCCAATGGGGAAGACGAGCACCACAATACCATCTCACCTTTGCAGTAGTCCGCAGGGTCCTCTTGCTCTTCATCATCTGATCCCAGGATCTCCTCCTCCGGCTCTGGCGGTGTGGGGTCTGGCAGGGGTGGTGGCGGTGGCGGTGGAGGTGGTGGTGGAACTAAGGGAGCTTTCTGTTGAGGCTCTGGCCTGAAATAGCGGAAATAAAATTCCTATTAGAAGTAAATCTTACATTACGGACACACTTGAGAGTTTCTTACTAAGGGGAAAAAAAATCTTGCCACACTTTAAATTTCCCCTATTACCCAAGGAATATTTTTGCAGGTATCTTTTCACTCAGAGTTTCAGTACTTCTGAAGTTCCACCAATGTTATAGAATGTAAGTGAAATGAAGGAGTAGCCCATGATGTACAGCCATACTATTTAGAAAATATTCCAGAGTCTAAAAGGACAGGTGCAAGCAGCCCTCAAATTATAAAAGGGCTTGGTTTCCTTAATTTGAAAATCATAATTCCTTTCCCCACAGAAACAGTAAGAACAAATATGTTAGGTTCCCAGATCAACTCATAAAAACCTCACTAATATATATTATAGTTGAAATATAATTATTCTCATTAATGAATTCAGGTATCTTATCAAGTACACTGCTCAAAACTAGAAACACACCCACTGACAGCCAAATACAAATTCAGTCCATACACTGGTGCAATGCTCGCACTGTCTCCAAAAGGTTTAATGACGTATTTAGTACACTCTTTTTAAAAGGGTAGGGAAACGTATAGTATCAAAAAAAAAAAAAAGAGAGAGAGAGTTCAAGAGCTTAAACATCATGTTTTGAGAGCGCAAAACTCATCACATTTGTTTCAGGTATCTAGAATAACTCACCCATTAAACACATTTGCTTAGAAATAAAGCCATTTGTAGTAGGGTTCTATAAAATCAAGGTTTCACTTACTATAAAGACTTAACTCTATTTCTAACCATGTCCCAATGCAGAAATTTTAACCTTAGGTTTCAACCTAGATGTGAGAAATACATCTCTTTCTTAAGCTGCCCTGACAGGGGGACCACCATTGCCCTCCCTGATCTGACCACAGCTGTTTGGGTGAAGAGTAGGGAGGGAACATATACTGACTGGCAGGAGCAAGGGGATTTACTGTGACGGAGATGTTCCCAGAGGCAACATCAGTAGGGTGAGGTGGTGGTCTCTAGTCGTGGGGAATAAGTAGAATCCAAGTGGCAGCGGTGTGATAGAAAAGTGAAATTTTTTTTGCCTGCCTGAGATGCATTCTCCCTCTCTAACAGCACCTGGATTTCCTTTTGGGGCACTGCTACTCCCTCCATTACAGAAGGCTGATTCCAGTCCTTTCTTTCCTCACCCTACTACAGCCTGGGGCAAGTCACCAGACCTACTCTTGAGCCCTGGAATCTTGAGAAGGTCAGCTGTCACAGTGGCGCAAACTTATCATAGCTTCTCTTCAGAGACATATCCAGGTGAGCTGCCATCTTTGTGACCTGTGCCCTTTTCTAAGCTGGAATTCTACGTTCCCACCAACTCTGAGAGCCCCAATATAGCATTCCAATACACTACCATTAGCATAAGTTAGCCACAGTTCATTTATGTGCCTCGCTACCAAAAATCCAAACTACCACAATGAAAGAAAGGGCTGAGGGGTGGAAGGCAGCAGAAAACACCAGAAGTCATGAGGAAGGGCTGGTGATCACACACAATAAGTAACCTTAAAGGCAAATGCTAGCAATTATGACTGCCTGTGGTAGGACAACTAAAGAACGTGTATAAGCTGAAAATGACTTCTATTGGTTTCTACTTGCCAGAATTTATGAAGACTCAAAGCTACAACTCCTTGGGTGACAGACATTAGAAGCATGGTGGTGATAAAATTCTGAGTTAACCTTTCCTCATGATGGAACGCGGAAAGGGAGTAATCACAACCAAACACCCACATCGTTTCCAAAATACATCCAAAAATTCTGACAGACCTTATGGTACTGCAGTAATCATTTCTGGCAGCAATGCAAATGCTCATTTTCTTTTCAACAATATCTATCCTTAGTGAAAACAGAATGGTCTCAGGTCAAAGGGCTCGAGAGTACTGAAGAAGGGAAGGTAGGAGAGAAAATGCAACAGTTTCCCAACTCCCTAGAGGGAAGAAAAAATTAGAGACGATTTGGGAAAAGACATGGAGAATTCACTATTGAGAGGTGAGGACAGAATCTACCTATATGACAAATTTGCCCAATAAGAAACACCTTGAAAGTTGGTTGTTTCTTCCTAACTTGGGAATCTTACATAGAAAAAGAGTAGATTATCTAAATTGAAAACACATTATATCCACTACAGAAACTAAACCCACTGACAACGAGTTGGTTCCAACTCATAGCGACCCTACAGGACAGAGGAGAACTGCCCCAATACGGTTTCCAAGGAGTGGCTGGTGGATTTGAACTGCTGACCTTCTGGCTAACATAAATAGCTCTTAACCACTGTGCTACCAGGGCTCCACTATAGAAACTACTTAACATTTAAGGAGAAGAAAATAAATGGAGAACATTATTCTACTAGGGCAGGGTTTCTCAACCTCGGCACTTGTGACATTTTAAGTCAGATAGTTCGTCTGTTTGCGGGGGCTGTTTTGTGCACTGTACAGTGTTTAGCTGCATCTCTGGCCTCTGCTCACTAGATGCCGTTAGCACCGTCCAGCTGTGCCCATCAAAACGGTCTCTAGACATTGACAGTGTTCCCTGGGAAGCAAAATAATCCCCAGTTGAGAACCATTGCACTAGTAGTGTGTCTTATATACAGCATTACTTAATGGAGAAGATGTCTACTGTAAGATAGAAGACTGTCTAATTTTCAGGGGACCATTTTCTCTCACTTTAGAGGCTCAGACACCATCAACATAACATGTGTCTCACTCATTCTCTACTCATCCGGGGAGCTGTCCGCATTTCTTACAAAACTCATACCCTCTTGTCAAGTGAGCAGGCATTTCTCATCCTTCCAGGGATAGTCATGTTGAACACACAGGCAGAAAACTCAAAAGCCCGCTCTCCCAAGTTAAAGGGATAAGTCAGGGTACCCTAAAGTACAGAGGAAGTTGAATAATGTTGATACAATATTTCAACTGGCTATTGTATCAAAAACATCTACAACTGTGCTCTCCATTGGCTACATGTGAATACTGAGACTTGAAATGTGACTAGTCCAAATTGAGATGTGCTGTCAGTGTAAAATGTGAACTAGATTTCTAAGACTTTGTATGAAAAAAGGAACATAAAAGATTTCATTAATAATTTCAATATTTATTACATGATAAAATTATAACATTTTGAATGCTGAATTCAATAAAATTTATTGTTAAAATGAATTTTACTAATTCTTTATATTTTTAATGTGACTACCAGAACATTTTAAATTCAAATGTGGCTCACAGTATATTTCTACTCAATAGCACTACTACAGACCCTTTGTGAAATTGCCCTTTTACCAGACAGCAGCTCAGCCTCACATTCAGAGATTCCTGGTTACACAAATGATTGCTATTTTTTCTCTAAGTCTTCTCCTAGGGTCTTGCTTCATATCAGTTATCACCAACTCTCAATTCATTCATCATAAGAAGCCTCTCTCAGTACCATATACTTGCCCAATGCAATACTCCTAATCATTAACTCTTTTTCATCCCACCGATTCTTGTTACTGCCTACCACATATGAAGAATACAGGTAAATTTCTTCTAGGGCAGATGTTATGGGAGAGAGAAGCTTGAAACACTGCCTTAAGGGTGGCATCTTCTAAAATGGTTGCTGGATAAATCTCAATGGTTTGAAAGATGAAGAGGTAACAGGTACATACTCATAAAGTATATCAACAGATTAAAAATAATAAATAACTAAAGGAAGCAGAGGCGGCCAGGAATGGACAACACATTTTTGACAAGGGTGCCAAGACAAGTAAATAAGGAAAGAACAGTATTTTCAACAAATGGTGGTAAGACAAACACATACATACATGCAAAAAAAAAAAAAAAAAGTTGGCCTCTACCTCATACATACATAAAAATTAATCTATATTAAAGATCTAAATGAAAGAACTAAACTATAAAGTTTCTCGGGGGAGGGGGGGAATACAAGTAAATGTTTGTGATCTTTGGTTAGACAATGGTTTCTTAGATATTACACCAAAAGCATAAATGATAAAAGAATAAAATGAACTTCATCAAATTCAAAAACTTTTGTGCATCAAAAGATATCATCAAGAAAATAAAAACACAACTCACATAACGGGAGAAAATATTTGCAAATCATATAACTTTAAAAGGGCATGTATCTAGAATATACAAAAAACTCTCACAACTCAAAAACAAACACAGTAACAACCCAGTTAAAAAATGGGCAAAGGATGTGAATATGCATTTCACCAAAGAAGATTTACAAATGATGATAAGCACAGGCAAAAATGTTCAACATCATTAGCCATTAGGGAAATAGAAATCAAAACCCCAATGAGCTATCACTTCATACCCACTAGGATTGCTATAAACAAAAAGACAGATAATAACAAGTCTTAGCAAAGATGGAGAAACTGGAACCCCTGCACATTACTGATGGGAATTTAAAATGGCACAGCAACTTTGGACAACAGTTTGGCAGTTTCTCAAAAAGTTAAACACAAGAATTACCATATGACCCAGCAATTCCAATATAAGTTATATACCAAGAAGAACTGAAAACTATATACATAAAAAACTTGTGTATGAATGTTCATAGCAACATTATTCATAGTAGATAAAAAGTGGAAACAATTCAAATGTCTATCAATTGACAAATAGTTAAATAAAATGTGGTGTATCTTTACAATGAAATATAATTCAACAATAAAAAGAAATGAGGACTTCCGGCAAAATGGCACTCTAGGCAGAAGCACCATGCCATCACTCCACAGGGAAGATCCGAAAAACTAAGCCAAACAGAGAAAACAGCAATCCCGAAACCCTAAAACATCAAATGAAGAGATAAAGAACTCAGACAAGCACCAAATGGAGTGAGAAAACTGACAGAGAACGGAGAGCAAGGAGAAATTCATGCAGAGGTCCCCTATCAGCTAAGGCAGCACGGATCCACCATCTTGGACTCCTATCAGAGACCAGCAAATAGGGTGTACGAGAAAG